GGGGATGGTGGGTAGGGTAAGTTAGAAAAGAACAGAAAATTAAAATTAAAAAAAAAAGTAAAATTGGGGCAACTAAATAAATTTCTAGATAAGTTAAGTTAGGTTGAGATATCTTTGTTTTGGGTGAGTTTCGTGGGTTGTATTTGGGCTGCTTAATGGGTCAAAATGGGCTATAGAAAATAATGGGTTAACTTGGGGTCAGCCCAAATTGACCCTTGAGCTAAAATATTTGTAGCCCAACCCATTAATCTCTGGGCGGGTTGGGTGGGTTGAATGAGTTTGGGCTCAAATTGTCACCCCTAATCGTATCGTGCCTGAAGATTCGCACAGCTATCAAATCGTGTCGAGGAAGGAAAGCATTTACTCTACCATGATTCAAGGAATAGCCGTTGGGGAACTCCACACTTATTTTTGGAAAGAATCATCAATCAAGATTCGTTCCAAGGATCAATTCCTTTGGGTTGCCAATCTCCCAAGATCTGTGTCAATCAAAAATCAAAGTAGATCTCCTCTCAAGTTGTATTTATAGTCGATGGCCAAGAAGAACAAAGCATACTTTGGTCTAACCAACTCCAAGCTCTTTGTTCTACTCTTTATGAGCATTGTATTTCAAATTGAATTACTGTGTAACAATCAGAGAGAAACAAAAAGAGAAATATTGGTGAGGCATTGTATCAAAAATTTGAGAGTTACTTAGCATAAGAAATCTGTTGGCGTGTACAAGAATCCGGCCAACGCAATTGTACTCAGAATAATAAGGAGCTTTAAAGAGAGATCACACTTGCAACCTAAGGGGATTGGACTAGGATTCACATTCTGAATATCTTGTGTCATTTAATCTTCTGCATTTTTTTATTCTGCAGCTTTATCTGCTTTACTTATCTCAAATTTTTCGGTCGACTAACTGATAAACTAGTCGAAAAGGACAACAATTCATTCCCCTCTTGTACTTTCATATATAACCTAGCAGAGTTTTGCTTTTTATGATCCGAAACTAGAGTTGCGATTGGTTCCGTATAATCCAACAAAAGAAGCCCCTAATCGTAATTTCATTATGTCAACTTAACTTCTTTAACATCCACGGTGCTGAGACGAGAAATCATAGGTCTTGAATGGAGTCTGCTTTGTTTTCGTGTTGTCAACATAATTTCTTTTTTCGCTTTACTTCTTTGGGTAACATTTTGCCTTTTGACCAGTGGAGCTTTACGTATCAAATAGTAGTTGACATTTTAAAGTTCAATAGTATATAATTAGCTGGTGCAACTTGGCTTAGCTTGCTAATCATTCCTCAAATTTCCATATCTCGAGAAGAGAAACGGTATTTCTATCCAAGAATAACAAAAAAAAACATGTATAAAATTAGGTTAATGCTCAGTATACAGCTTGCAATATGGCGAGTCTTCTCTAAGAAAGAAAAAAAATATTGCAAGTTTTCGATCATCTCGTCTCCAAGTATGCATTCAAGTGGACAATACATTTATGAACGTCAATGTGGCAAATGCCTATATATGCCCATACTATCTAGATTCACACATTGATACACATAATTATCAATATGGGAATAGAACACTTTGTGCCTAAAATTGTCACTCTCTTTCTCGTCATCACCTTTCATTGCTCCTCTCCATTTGCTGCACCATCTTCTTCCTTTTGTGACATCACTCCCTTCCCTGACTTGTGCAAATATTTTCTTCCTCAAAATAAGTCTACAAACATACATGACCATGTAAGGCTGTCCATCCATCTTTCATCATCAGCAACTACACAATTTCTTGATTCAATCAACGGTTACTTAAACTCAAAAAATACATCATCTCAAAGTAGCATATTTGTCCTCCAAGATTGTCAATTGCTTATTGGCCTAAATTTGGATTTCTTATCCAATGTCGCGGCTACTATTAGCCAACCTGGAAATACTCTTCAGGGTTCAAAATTTGATGATGTGGAAACCTTGCTTAGTGCATCTATAACAAATCAACAAACCTGCTTGGATAGCCTTCAAATCACTCCTTCAGCTGCAGACATTGCGAGTCAGATTTTTCCTACACTCGCTAATGGCAGCATGATGTATAGCGTGTCTCTCGCCCTTTTTAAGTATGGCTGGCTTCCTAATTCACCAACAAGAGGTGGACGAAAGCTGTTGCAAATTAGTGGAATTAGTTCTGTAAACGTGACACAAATGGTAGTGGTAAATCCAGATGGATCTGGGAATTACACAACCATCAATGATGCCATTGCAGCTGCGCCAAATAATACGAAAGCAGGAAACGGGTATTACAAGATATATGTGGTTGCTGGTGTGTACCAAGAGTATGTCTCTATTGCCAGTAACAAGAAGTATTTGATGATGGTTGGTGATGGCATTAATAAGACTATTATCACTGGTAATCACAGCGTAGTTGATGGATGGACAACCTTCAACTCTGCCACATTCGGTAAGTATATATTTGGTCATTTCAAGTCAAATCTCATTTCAGTTAATTATTCAACGTTTCTAAGAGAATTTAGATGGTAATTTGGGAAAGCAAGACTTAAATTAATGCCATGCACTTTGTAGTCCATAGAAATCGGATCTTAGTTAAGCTTTCTCAAAAATAAAATAACGTTGGTAGATAATTGAATATCTCACGTAACATGATGTTCCCTAGAAGTCAAATCTTTCTCTTTAGCTTTAATTCGCAAATAATTAAAGATATACATACTTAACATCTCCCAAGACTCATGTATCAAGATGCGGATCCAAGATTTAAACTTGATGGATTCAACTTTTTCAGTTATATAGCAATGAACTCATTGTGTTTCCAAAATTATTATTATTATTATTATTATTATGGTTCAAAATGTAATATTTGCTGAAATTAACAACATTTTTGCCTCTGCATGCATGTATACCTAGTCACACAGTCAGATTGCTAGCAATGGTTATATAATTAACAAGAATTTGGGGATCAAGTGTTGCATCCTTTGAGATATATGAGCTAGTTATAGCACCACTTTTTAATGTAATGTATCTAAAAGTAAATCATCATGCAGCTGTGGTTGGGGAAGGATTTCTGGCAATGAACATTACCTTTCAGAACACAGCAGGAGCAATAAAGCATCAAGCAGTGGCAGTTCGAAATGGTGCTGATCTCTCTACATTTTACAGTTGCAGCTTTGAAGGGTATCAAGACACTTTGTACACGCATTCTATGAGACAATTCTACAGGGAATGTGATATATACGGGACGGTCGATTTCATTTTCGGAAATGCTGCTGTAGTTTTCCAGAACTGTAACATATATCCACGCCTTCCATTACAAGGCCAGTTTAATCCAATAACTGCACAGGGCAGAACTGACATAAACCAGAATACAGGCACATCCATTCACAATTGCACCATAAAAGCTGCCCCTGATCTGGCCTCGAGCAATGGCACTACACAGACATATTTAGGCCGGCCGTGGAAGGAGTATTCAAGAACAGTTTATATGCAATCCTTCATGGATAGCCTGATAAATCCTGCTGGTTGGGCAGCTTGGTCTGGAGATTTCGCGCTAAGTACGTTATATTATGCTGAATATAACAACACAGGCCCTGGATCCAATACGAGCAGCAGGGTAACTTGGCCTGGTTATCATGTGATTAACAGCACAGATGCTATCAGTTTTACAGTTTCCAATTTCATAGCAGGGAACTTTTGGCTGCCTGCCACTGGAGTCCCTTATACTGGTGATTTACTTTAAGCAGCAATGCTTGCGATTCTATTTTGTTTGTTCTGTTTATGAATATGGACGCACCATCTGAATCTTTTGTTAGTAAATAATAAACAAAAACGGGCTTTGAGGCGTGAAAATTAACTGTCCTTAAAGAGTTATCGCCTGTATACTAATTTAGGAAAATACAAAACGATTCTCTTCAGGATACAACAAAGCATGCAATAATACTTGTGATTTTTTATTCCACTTCATTGGAAATTCTTGTGTATTTATAGGCAACCAAGAGACCCTTTCAGAAATATGTCTTGTTTCACAAACAGACATATTTGGACAGACCCTTTCATAACAGACATAACTGTTTACTCGAATTTTGAATTTAAAATTCAAATAAATTGATTTGTCTGTCACAAAATAAAATAATAAACTTTAGGATCCTACCCGGTCCAAGTCCATGATTATATAATATATAAATATATAGCGTACTTAATTGCACACACTTAAAAGTATGTGTCCTAAAACAAAGACATGAAAGGGACAAGTGCTTAAAAGGCTCCAAATCGGCCTTTTCTCTTCCAATGTGGGAATAATCCCACTTCCCAACTCAAATAACAAACTATCTTACATCTTTGAACAAGTTCTGGATATGTTTTATTTCCACTTTACATTTTCTAAAGCTTTAATGTATTTTGTGCCAAGCAAGAAACAAGAAGACAGGAGATAGAGACTTGTGTAACATGTTAGTTAACTTGTAAGGACCACCTAAGGTTGTGATGGAGTGCTAATTACTCCTCCATACTTAATAAGAGGTCTCGGGTTCGAACCCTGGGAATGGAGTCGCCTTTGATAGGGATGCTTTACCTCTTCCCCCGGTCCCCGAACCCCAAGTAGAACTTCTGGACGTGAATCTGAATTAGTCGGCCCGAAAGCGGATACCAAATACCGGAAGGAAACCAGAAAACGAAAAAAGTTTAACTTGTAATAAGGCAATATTTCTTTGTCTATCTATATCCACTCTGTAAATATAAGGAGGCTTGGCATACCGCTGCTATAAAGCTTGTCTTAAGCCATATATACAATGTCTTGTTGAGTCTGCAGACAAGGTTAGGGGATGAAATTGTCATGCATTGTCGACTTCATGCAAATCAATATCTTTAGTGAATCCAAGCGCAGTTTCACTACATCCTACCATAAAATACCTCAAGTCGATGAATACGGTGTCAATAATTTATAGTACTGTAACTATTTTATTAACAGTTTTGGATCCATGCATATCCTTCAAGTCTCAACTTTCTAGAGAATCCAGTAGCACAAATACCTCACAGGGACTCATGTTCTCTAGAATTAACATGCACTTTACGAAATGGTTCTCCAATTTAAACTTGCAACTTCCACTGAATGTTTTTACTTTTTCATGCTTGTTGTATTTGACATTTGGATAATTTTTTTCAATGAATATATAAAAGTTTGACATTCGGATGATCATCAATTTGTCAAACATTAATTCAGAAATCCCTGCTTAAATACGTCGTACATTTTGTTTATCTGAATTTCAAATTCAACATTAATTTCTTCTGTATTTTCCGTCTCACTTATAAAAACGAAAAATTGACTAGTAACTTGAAGAACGTGGAGAAATACTCAGCAATGACTAGAGTTTTCAAGAAGAGTGAGATTTAGAAAAAGAAGGTGTTATTTGATGTCCTGTTTGTACCTTACTGAATTTTGTGGACAAAACAACTTATTTCATCCGATTAGTGACGAGAAGAACTAGGTACTTTTGCTTTTGAAACCACGTCATTCACCAAGCATCTAATTTAATTTCTAATATTTGATTACTAAAACCCAAAAGACTTGTCAAACTGCATATGAACATATTAAGATAGAGGATCAAATCAATCTATCATTGTTTAATTACGACAGAATATATATTTGGCAAACAAGTGTAATACTCTACTTTGCCACCTTGTAATAAATTCTATTAAACACCCACTTTTTTATACATTCTCGCTGATTAACCAATTCACTCTTCCTTCGTCAAATCTTCAAGCAAGAAAATAATTTTAAGAATTTCCTTACGAGCCAAAAAGAAGATCATCCTCTTAATTAGTCGCTCTTTCAATTCAAGGAGCTCTGGGTAATTTCATAAAAAGAAAATAAAGAAAAAGGCCATATATACTACGTTCTTCCTTCTGAGGTTTAGTATTATGCAGAATTATTCAAATTTGAAATTTTCTTTCTGTTCATTTTTCAGGTGATTTGGTGTGTGAGGAATTACCCGTCGAACTGTGTTCCTTCTCAATTGAATCCGCAGAGAAACAGTGTTTTCTTGAGACAGTTTACACGTCGTCTAACAATGGAATAAGGGAACTCCAAATCCAATGCAAGACATCTGAAGTTTATGCAATTAGTAATAATTTGCATGAACATATTGAGAGAGACGAATGCATTTCTGCATGTGGGGTTGATAGGAAATCACTTGGAATCTCATCAGACTCACTTTTTGAATCTAAATTCACTGCCAAGCTTTGCTCACCTCAGTGTACCCGGAGTAGGCATCGAGAAAACTCAGAGTCTCGTGGCCGGCCGTGGCATCGATCATGTGATCGATGTTAGGCAAAGGGAAAGAATCTTTTGGGGCATGCTTTGTTTAAATCTTTATAATCTACACACATTCTTAGTTTATTCCCTTTCTTAGGGACTACTATTACGTTCACTAACCATTCCGGGTATTTGACTTCCCGGATGGATCATATTTTAAGGAGTTTGGTTACCTCGTCCTTAATGAAGGCATGCTTGATTTCGGACTGGGGTCTCCTTTTTTGTTTTATCGGGCGGAATTTCGAGTCCAAGCTTAGTTTATGAGTAGTGATCTCCGGTGGGATCCCTGTCATATCGAGATGGGACCAAGAAAAACAATTCATATTAGCTATAAGAAATTGAATGAATTTTTTCTTGAGCTCAGGAGTTAACCCCATTCCAGGTATAACTTTCGTTGGGGCAGATGTTCGATCAGCACGACCTGCTCTAGCTCTTCGACCGTTGACTTAGTAGCTTCGGAATCATCGGGGGCGATAAAGGATTGAGGAACCCTGAAGTCATCATCTTCGTCAATCCCTTGCTTGTCCGATTTGGTCGAGGTTGGCATCGATGATTGCTATTTGGCTTCTTGTTTCGCTTTCGAACCTGAGTCCTTTGTCGATGAGAGTGTTGATATCGAAATTACTTCATCGAATGCAAACATCTCCTTCGCTGCGGGTTTGATGTTTTAACTTCAATACCATACAAGAGGGGGGGAGGGGATTTGTGTGGTGTCTAATTTTTCGCTTAAACTGATTATGGAAGGACCTGGTTCTTCTAAGTGTTCCTTAACCTACTATTGCAGAAATAGCAAATGCGGAAAGTAAAGAACACAAGTGTTTTACGTGAGAAACACCTGGCTCAAAAGGTGAAAAAATCATGACCTACTTCTCAGTAGGATTTTTCCAAACTCTCCACTAAATCACTGAGCCAAAAACAAAACACTTTTGTAAACCTAGGATTAATTCTAATCTCGTTGCGGCAAACAGCCTTTAACTGTTGCGACAACTTCAAGTTAACTCTAACTTGAATTCTCTAAGTACCTATCACAATTGCCTCTAGATAAAGCTGAAAGGTACGATATGAAAACACCTACTACAATTGAACTAGAATAAAAGACAGACACTTGGAGTTGATTCTTCTATCTAGTTCATGTAGCTTCAGGTTTGCACAATTGAATCACACACGAACTGCTTGCAAAAAGCCTTGCTATTTTGCTCTCAATTCACGTTTAACTTCTGCATTTGTGCGTTCCGGTAAAGTGAGAACATCCTGCAATTTATAGAGTTAGTAGATGAAGAAATACCTAGAGTTCTAATGCTACTCTTCCTTGGTGGAAAAGTTCTAGTTGATTTCAACTTTTAACTCCTTCCCTATCTTGGATAGTGTTCTCTTTGATTAAGGAGTCCTTCTCTTTATCAATTATGCAACCTTTTCGATCAGGAGATATCAAATATACCAAGTTAAGCTTATCTACTTCACGTGCATCCCACATGCTCGAATCTGCCCGTTTCTATGCACCCAAGGGATGGACCTGGTTCATGCCTGAGCTTCCTTTGTCAATCTTCAAAACTAACCTTCACTTAGGCCAACAAAGTCCTCCTTTTTTATGATGACAAGCTCTGTGCTTTTTCATAAGCTTAGGCCCTGTTTCAACTTAGCTCAACATCAACACATTGTTAGAAACATTTTTCCTTTTTATCATTTATCATCAAGGACCAGGTTCATTAGGTTATAAACATCACTGTTCAAAGTATAAAGCACAACCATTTTCCCCTTTTGGCATCATCGAAAATTTGCATAAAAAATGTAAGATAACCATATTTTAAACTTACTCATGGCCACTGGGATACTTCAAATTCAAACATGGATTCATCATCATAGATCAAGCTATGAATTTAAACCATCAAAGAAATATAAACAAACAGTTAGAGCAAAAACAGCAAATTTCATTGATGATTGATAAGATTCTACCATAAAGCATAAGAAGAAATAAAATTACTGAAAACATGAGCAAAAGAAACAAAAGTCCCGAACTGGGTCACTGGTTGATCTACACTAGGCTAGGAGGCTTAAGGCTGGGAAGAACTAGGTGCTTGGTTTTTTGGCTTGGAGGAGTTTCAGCATATCCTGAAGAATGCTATCATTCTTCTCCCTTTCTCTTGCCAGCTCAGTTTAGAGAGCATCTCTCTCAGTCTCTACCTCAATCAACCTCTTCTTCAGCCTCTCAATCTCAGCATCCTTAGCCCCACTTTATTGCATCAAGGCTCTGACCTTGCTATTCACTGGTACCTTCTTGGATGAACCAGTTTCTTTAGGAGTGGCATGGACTTTATAGTCTGCGAGGGTTTCCTCTACAGATGACCAGGTTCATCTCTATTTTTTCAAGTTGAACAAGCCCTTCAGCAGCTTCACCAGACCCACTTCCCCCCTGTTTTCTTGGCACTCTTCTCTACTCTACCAGTCCCAAACACTCCTTTACCCTTTACCCTCACAGCACTCCGAGCACCCTTACTCTCTTTTTCTTTTTCTTTTTCTTTTTCATTTTTACCACCAACTTCTCCAGATTCTGTAGTCTCAATACCTGCTATAGACCCTACCAGTACAAATCTATTCTCCAAATTTGCAACAACTTCAGAAATTGTCTCAGGAGTAACTTTAGGATCAGA